TTTTTTTTTTTTTTTTTTTAATAGCCGACAGTTTATCCTACGGGAAGAGCAGTTTTCCAGTTCTACCGGAGGATTCATTCTCATTTTGCACACTCGGAGAGTAGTGCAGCGACGCCCACACACACACACACACACACACACACACACAAAGAGACAGAGGCGGAGAGACAGATAGGACGAAGTTTGCCCATGTGTCTGTGTGTGTGCATGCGTGTCAGAGAGAGAGGGGAAAATAGTGTGCGTGCGTGTGCGCGTGCTTGGGCGTTACAGAGAGAGTGCGGCCAAGACAGTGTGTGGGTGTGCGCATGGGTGTGTGGCAGAGGGAGAATAGAGTCAAGACTCTGCCATGGCCAGTGGCAAAGGTCGAGAAAATGGTGCGCAGTGTAGCTATGGCGCACATGTTTTGAAAAAAAAAAAAAGGAAAGAAAAAGCAGAAAAAAAAAACGACGATTGAGAAACGTTCTTCGTTTTTTGTCTCTCTCTCTTTCTCTGTCTGTCTCTCTCTCTCTCTCTCTCTCTCTCTCTCTCTCTCTCTCTCTCTCTCTCTCTCTCTCTCTTCGTGTCTCTCGCAGCCGCGTACTGACCTGTCAAGTACTGAGCTGCGCAAAGGTGGCGTCTTCTTGATTGAGGTAAGTGACGCGTCTCTCTCTCTCTCTCTCTCTCTCTCTCTCTCTCTCTCTCTCTCTCTCTTTTGGGTTTGGTCAACAAGGCCCTATCCCTCATGCACAGAGTTCTATCACCTGGACAGAAGAGACTGGATGCAAAAAGAAGAGACAGATAGACTTGACTCAGCAAGTACCACAGGGTGTGTGCACATCCTTAGGGCGAGGGGATAGGCTGAAGGTTTGGCGAGATTACACCGGCTCCAGCTTGGTCAAAGTCGTGGTCAACATCCTTGGTCAACACCCTGGTCAACGCTTGCTCAACGCAGCGGTCAATCCCCTGTCAACTGTCGATCAACATCTGGTCAACTCCGATCAACGTCCGGTCAACTCCGGTCAACGCCCGATCAACTCCGATCAACGCCCAATCAACTCCGGTCAACGCCCGGTCAACTCCCGTCAATGCCCGGTCAACTCTCCCTGTCAACTACGCCTGTCGTCTTCTCCTTCCTCACCACCCTTCTCCTTCCTTTCTCCTTCCTCGCCTCCTTCACCCCGGCTCTATGAATCCCCCTCGGCGGCGGACAGGCGCGGCTGAGTCCGCGGCCGTGGCCAAGTCCGTGACCCCGCAGACGCGTCCGCGCGTCTTCGCGGACGCTTGGCGGCCGCTGGGGAAGGGGGTTTAGGAATCGGGAAGCGCCACGTGGCGGCGCAACCCCAGCCCCACCCCATCAGGCAAAAAAAAATGAAAAAAATCAAATTTTTGGTTGGGGGGGTAAGGGCGAAATCGAAGAAAATAGAGAAAAAAAACGCATTTTTTCTAGACTATTTTTATTTTTTATTTTTTTATTTTAATTTTGGTGAAGAATTTCGATGTGACCCTGAGGCAAAAGTTGTTCAGTTTATTTTTCTGCATAACATAGTTTTTTTTCGGATTTTTTGGAGGTTTTTTTTTTTTTTTT